ATCTGATTGACCATCTTTTCCTGATAACATACATGTAGTCTTATTATTAGAAAAACTTTTCAGGTCTCAGTTAATTAACCAGGAGTAAAAACAAAGGACATCAGGTTACCCCTTAAGTTTTCACTTCTGTTGGTCATATAAACATTCCTTCAGAACAATATCATTATATGATTTGTTATTCTACAGATTTTGTTTGTATAAAATGATAAATTTAAGAATTAGTTTATTTCCTTACTAAGCACTATTGTTTTATAAAGTATGTTAACCCTTTTTTATGATTTAACTTCATTCATCCTGAAGTATTAAAAAGTTACTTCAACAAATCTGTGCAACATTCCATCTGTAGGTTAACTATGAGCTATTTATTTTTACAAGAATCAAACGAATTCACGATGGTATGATTGAAACGGAAATTACTGTTATCGATCATGAAACTGTAACCTATTTGATGGACATAGAAATTTAACTAGTTTACGCTTTGACAAACAGTTGTATAGAATACTATCCTATACTAACTTATTTATTTATTCGTTCATTCATTTCGAATGCAAAAAATTGTTTTTCTTTTGATTTCATTCAAAAAATAAAAAACGAGAAACGAAATTATAGGAAAAGAGGAACTAAATTCGGTATTATTAAAAAAAATCTTTGTTCCTTAAATGTTAGATATATGTTAAGATAACATGAGACTAAAGAATTATTTACAACTAATAGCTAGAAAAAAATTTATCAGTTTTAAGTGGGTTATTTTATTTGTATCGTGGATATTAGTTTTTTCAGTGCGCTTTAGCTAATTATTCTTTCTTTGTTAAGTGTAAAATTCAGCTTAGTTCAATAACTAACTAAAAGTTGATGTACCCTGATTTTAACACAATCATTTTCATGTGTATGAAGGTTTGTACTACTACTCAAATGTCCAAATCATCAAAGTATTTGAAGTGAAAGTCAAATATTGAACCCAGTGAATGAAATTAAAATATTGAAATAATGATTTAGTCATCGTTACTCCATCATTAGAAACCTAAAAGCACTGGATAGCTGTTCTGTCTTAGTAAAGGATTCATCAACAGTGCGCATCCGCGACTCCTGCTGCTTGCGGGATTTGAACTCAGGGCCTACGATTTTGAACGCGAATGCCTATCATCTGGATCATTGAGCCAACATGAAACGGTAATAATGTCTAACTTTGAGAAAATCCAAAACAGTTTTCTTTAACTGTAAGTCTTTGACCGATGAAATATTATTTCTTATCGAGAAGATAGAAGTAACTAGTGAAAGTTTATGGAGCATCAAACATGTCTCAATAGTGATTATTTTTTTGCAATTATCAATGCTTACTTGAAATAGCGATACATTTCATAGAAAACTTACGATTAGTTATATAAATGTTCATCTATTAACAAAATAACCCACCGTAAATAGTAAACTAGTTTATATATTTAGAATTAATGTATAGTTTCAGTAATATCTGTAATGAAACGGACTTATAGTCTATCAACTTTAAATCATTAACAACATTTTATCTCATGTAATCAAATAATCAAAAAATTATTAATAATATCAGTAAACATGAGTAGACGAATTTGCGTTGGTTGATACTTTTAGCAGACTACTTCCATTACAGAATATTTATGTGAACTTATAAGCTATCATTACTTGATTTCATGAAATTACTTCGTGTTTAACTATTCAAACATAAATATTTACTGTAAATCTTTAATGTCAATGCATTTAGAGTTTGAGATAATCAATAATCAGAATAAATTGTACAAGTTAGTTTGATACGACAACTCCTTGATGAATACAAACATTTAAGCATTAAAATATATTCTTTCGCACTATAGAACAGAATAACTTACAATTTTTCAAACCATAAAATTCATTTGTAAGATAATTTAGAAGATTAACAAGAATGTGTTATAGTTCAGAGTGAAAACTTTTAACAGCAATAATATGTGAAACTTTTTAAAATATACAAGAAATTATCTGCCGACAATAATCAACAAACCAGGAATGGTAAGAGACATTTGTCGAATACATTCTTTTCAACTATTTACGAGAAATAGTTTAGAAATATGTCAGTAAAAAAAAATTTAGTCTAAATTCTTTTCATCATTTCATTTCGAAGGTCTTTATTATTTAAACTGATGAAAAAAAATTGTAAGAAATTTTCATACGCTTCTAAAAATGACAAGTAGAAAGGTTTCTGATAAAGATGCATGTTAAATGTTGCCTAGTAAACCGCTAGTGAATGCTTTCAACAAATCGAAATAATTTCCACAAAGATTTTAAAAATGAACCCTATTTGTTCAATTTCATACAAATTCCGCCTGAGATTTTCAAAGCGTTATCCTGATTCAAGTATTCATAAAGCAGTATTGAATATCTATATAAAATTAATCGTTTCACAGACAACAAAAGAAAATTAAAAGCAATTGATGAACCATTGATTGAGCTCATAAATTTAGACTGTTGGGCGGTTAATCTGTATTCACAGAGATATTTTAATTCATTCAGTTGCATTGTAGGTGAGCTTACAGACACGCTATACTGCAAAGTTATGAACTTGAACGAAACAACAGATGATAGCTATCCCATGATTAATAATAGTTTAAAAGACTTTACCATTTCATGATGAACATTTCCCTTCAATCATATTCATGTCCTTTTAAGTTTTCCCGATAGATTTTGTCCCACACTGAACTAACACTTTATATTTTCGTACTTAACAATTAATATCCGAAATTTCAGTCATTCAGATTCACTTTTATTACTAACAAAAACATCCAATTTATCGTTCTAGGGATTATGAGGCAGTGATTATTGAGTCACAGACTTCAAATCAATACTGATTGACACAGACGACAAAGAAAAAATGAACAGTTTCCAACAAATTTATGATTAATATCTTCTGTATCAACACAGTACACTCAGGAAATTCTGAGTACATAAATGTAAAACTATCATTTTCGTTGTATTATGGAGAGAAAGAGCTAAGATGAAAATTTTGAGTGTGAGTAAAAAATGTCTACCAGAAAGTACAATAACATTTGAACAATAATTGTTTATAATTACATATGTCTTAACAATGATGTGTTTTATCAGTGTAGTTTTTCCTGTGATCCATTAAACCAGTTTGATGATACTTTATTGAAAAGTGACCGTCTGGAACATGCTACCTAAAAATTCAATGTTCGAAGACATTCTAAGTTTGCATCACTTTTTAATTCCGTCTTTATTTCTATTGTCAATTTTATGATAGATTTATTGGGTTGCTGTGGATAGTATGACCGGATGATTCATAATTTTTTCCTCACTTACCTAACTTCTCTGTAACTAATGACTCCGACATTGAAGATGAAACATACTTACAGAATAGACACTTAGTTTACTCCAAAACAACAATCTTTGTAACTTCATATTAGATTGGAATTTCTTATTTAGAAGATAAGATTGTGATTCAGTGACAATGATTCTGACTTTAACATTGTTTGATGGGGATTCAATTCTCATTGGGAGTAACCTTTTTCTGAAAATTTCAGACAATCCTTAATGAAAAAATCCAACTAGTTTGAAACCTAAGTCCAGGAGAGAGAGCGTCTCCAACTCCCTATCATGCTCGATTTGATCCATATTATCATTCGGTTCAAACGAACACTGTATCAAACTCCATTGAAACAGCTATTTAACGCTCTGTCGTTTTTAGAGATTTTGATTGTATTTAGTTAAAACTATTCAAATTATTTTATGATAAAATGAACTGTTAAGTGAGAGGGATGCTTTCTGTGATGTCGTATTCGTTGAATTATATGCCTTATTTAATATTTCATTGTTCTGTTAGACCTCATAAGTACTGAAATCTATGCGGATAAAAGCGTAGATTTAAAAGATGTTAAATTCGTCTGTTTTTTGAAATTTTTATGTTCAAAGAATAGAATTATGATTGTGTAATAAAATGAATAATTTAAGTTGCGAATTTGTGATTGTGTGTTTAAATTGATACCATACCTTTAACCCCTTACGGGGCAGGTGTACATGATTTAGTGCTGTACGAGAACTTTATTAATATTTGAAGAAATTAACTGTTAGCTCTTAGGGTTAACTTGCACAAATCCAGTAACTTGCAGAATTATTATGTAGCATTAAACCGGAAAATTATTTGACATCAGAAACCAAAACGATACATTAGCATATCAAATCATTAGACAATAGGTGATGAAAACCACTAATACGTTACTTGAATCGCTGTGAATTTTAACGAAATATTGCAGTGAAATAAACCGTTCTAATAAGTCTAAATCAATTAATACATATCGTAAATTTTACTGTCACTTCAATAATGAAAAAAAAAACATTTTCGATAGTTATTTTGAATCTGAATAAATAAGCTCAACACTTGTGTAGTTTAGTGATATTTGAAAATTTTTTTTAGAATTTTCACTATTTCAGTTGACTAAAACTTTTCTGTAGTCAGTAGATTAAATTGATATCTATCTATATATCTCGTAGAAACGTAGAAATATATTCAATCTCATGCATTCTCAAAATTAGTAGTATTAACTTTGTTCTATAACTAGATGACATTAGATGTTTGAAATTAATCAGCGTCGATCCCTGATTATATAAGTCTCATGCACTCGATCACTGAACCCTTCTTATGTTAGTCGAATCCATATCGTTCAGTGTCGTAGTAAGATACGCTATAAACAAAACCATTTGAGTGAAATGCTTTTGATAGAATTAAGCTGTTCACACATCAATCAATCACTGAATGAATGATCGTAGTAAAACCTGATTGAAAAAGTTCGAGTACCGAAAGACAAAATAATTTTGGTTCCTTCCAAGTAATTAGTTAGTTTAAGTACTGAATATTTGAAAATATTAGTATCTATTATCATCTTGAGCATAAAAAAAAATTGAGGAGTTTTATTACACACATTTGATTGTCAGCCATAGAAAAACGGGGTGCCATATGACATTTAACCTACCAATCAACTTACATGGATACGCGATTGCCAATTGAATAAACGCCATATAATACATGGTACTGAAAACATTGCAGCCTGTAGCATCAACAAGAATGGAACCCATTGATAGTAATGTATCGATTCTTTTCTACGTAATGCTAAATCCGTAGGTATTGTTGGTTGATCAGGTGATATAAAGTAGGTTGAAGTAATCCAACATACTAGTGTAGCATACTCAACTTGTGCACTAGTGAATTCGTTCGGTGTCCAACATGTTATTGGCTTACCAATGAATTGTCTTCCCATTATTACAAGTGTACATATCATTAACACAGTTGTTGTATATGAATGATTAATGCGATCAATGAAATCATCATCAGTTCTACTACTACTTCCAATTTCAACACTTAATCGTGTAAGTCCATTCAAAACACTTGATTCGAACATAATATTTAAACAGTAGCACTTTTTTTCAAATAGATAAATATTCACTAAAAATTCATATTTGTTCCCATGGTTCAGTATATGAATCCAAATCTGATGTAAATTTACAAATTACTATTTCTTTAGTAAGTCATTTACTATAGACATTTGTTCTAATGTGTCTGTATCACTTTAGCGGATTTAAATACAACTTTATGGCTGTTAGTATCCAACATCTTACCTGTCTATCTATTTGTCTATCTATCTATTCGTCTGTCCCACTACTATCCAATCCGTCATGAGTCGCAACGTTACGATTAAAAACACGAGTTTGATAACGTGAGTATAGCATAAATGAAGTGTCTGTCGACCACCATTTCTACTATTAGTTAGGAAAATATTATTAACTATCATTCGGTATTAATTCGATCGAAAAGTCAAATTAGGACAAATCCATACCGAAGGAAGAGAAATTCAATATTAGAAATATAAACAAGGCAGTTTCTCCCTTTGACTAAATTGGGATAGTGTTATGAGATGACTAAGGTTACCAAAACTATTAGTGAAATACATTTCGAACAATCATCACATCACAGCTGTCCACACTATGAAAGAATTATTCTTAGCGAAGTGTATGGAAAGCAGTATGGGTTAGGAATAGTCTAGATGACTTGTAAGCATCACCATAGTACCAAAAGCCAAGCAAGGCCTTGGTCATACTAAAATTTAAACTCTCTTTATGTGATCAAAAACATTTTGTTCTCACCCTAAATCTGACTTGGTAAGATTATTTTATTAGCCAGCTTGGTGAGCTTCATATTGTTCTTCATATTATTTTCTTTCTCATCCTTGTTTCCTTTTACACTCCATTTGTTTAGTGGACCTATTATTTTTCTTTCACGCTCTATCTTCCTCTAGTTCTCAGTTTCTGCCATTCCTTCATTCATACATTTCCACTCTGTCTCTTTCAATTACATTTTCAAAACTTAGCCGTACTCATTATTATCGGTACTCTTATTACTATACCCCTTAGCATTTTTATCTCGTCGTGCTCATGTGACTTTGCAACTAGAAAAATTGACTTGTATGAAAGACTTTACATTGATGATGTCTAACTGACTAAGATATGGCCATTATGTCATACACATTTTTAAACAAGTGAAGTGTAGCTAGCAATGCAATTCGGGGCTGGAACTTATTATCGTTAGCTTCAAATTACCATCTTGTTATCCACCTAGATACTACTACAGATAGTCAGTCACTAATTCAACCGACGGGTTGAATGATTCAAAATAGACATTAATTATATGAGCAACAAGGACTCGTAGGATAACATACTGGTATTTAAAATGACAACTGCCAAGACTGAACCCTAGTGCAAGCATCAGCTAGGATACAAGAGTTCCTAACTGATAAGTCTCAAATTGGACAAAAAGTGCCTGTATTGCATTGATAACTTCAAACTATCATTTCTACACAACTTAAAGTTTGTTTCGATTGCTTACAGGAACCTAAAATTCGTTAAATTTCTTTACTATATATCAAACTATTCAAATTATAAATGATAACTGGTACTAATTACTAGAAAACCGTTCGAAGAATTCTTGTTTGCAAATTTTGAACACTGACACCTACATAAATGAAATTAGCGATTTTTCGGTTTGGTTTTCGAACAGTAATTACTTTTTAACTAGAAGCTAAAAATTTTTCTACTTCTAGGTGTCTAAGGCCCTATATGTAACCCAATGAATATTCAGGAAAAATTCTTTCGTTGTATTTGGTGTTAAACAAATTACTAACTAGTAGATGGTTTCACAAAAAATGTTTTATATGTCAAGAGGGAGCAAATTCAATGCTATTTTTGTGCTACCTATGACTGCATTTAATGTCAACAATATTGAGGGTAGTATAGAAAACAAATTTTACTAGTTTTCTGACTGATTATAAAACGTGCAATTGTTTAGTCAAGTTAAAACAATGACCACTTTTTTCAATAATAATGTCCTTATACGAAAATGTCAAAGCTTATGTAAATGAGTTATGCGAAAATCCAAGAATTACGGTCAATCATTTTATGAAACGTTTATTTTCTAGCTGTAAGTGATAGAGTCAGAAGCTTGTGTAGCTTAGACAGAAACTCACTTCAGTCGGTTTATAAACTTTACACAAATCCACAAAATTTCCAACTATGATACTTTGTCAAAATTTTCAGGATACAGTAAAGCATTCTTAAATTGTTGGTTGATCTTACTGACATATTTTGTCTTAAAATCATTCTCAAAATACTTCAGTGACTGAAACCCTATTCATATAAACTAACTTTTATTTCTATGGTCTAAGCAGTAGCATAACATACTACAAATCGTATCGGCTGACAGCAAGGCAATATTGCCAGCAAACTTAAGGAGGAAATATGTAATATCCGGTTCCAGATGAAACATAATACGCCAGTTGATATATACGTGTTACCTCTGTTGTGTAAACTATTGGCTTAGATCTGTTTTCAGTTTTACTGCTCATAACTGACAATCTGGAACCACTGCAATTCCCACGGCGTAAACTGAAATCAATGTTTATCTAATTTAAACAAAACCACAACAAGGATTCGTCCAAAAATACTTCTTCATTCAATCAAACATACTTATTTTTAAACTCATTTTACGTACACATGGTTAATTTTTAAAAAAGTACACAGGCAAGAATAATACGAAGACTATTCATGTCACACTAGGAGAAAGTTCAGACTTGATCAGTAGCATACTCACCTCCGTAATGGAATTCTTTAGTTTGGATTCATGGTGTGATCGTCATGGTGGATCCGCTTAAGAGTCACAGACTAAGAGGAAATAATTATTAACACTGATTTTTTTTCCTACCGACGTCAGTACATGACATGTAAAGTGTCTTAAAATAAAACATTAAGATACCATAAAAATATAGTAAACTGCTCGGAGACATGGTGTCGAATATTTGTTTCAAATATTTACAGCAATCCTTGGGAATGAATATAAATAAGAGATACTGAAATATACATTATAGAAAATCATTGATAGTCATTCATGAAAGTAAGAATGAAATAGTAATTGCTTATTTAACATTCATATATCCAGAGAAAACCCCTACTCGTCTCAATGATGATTTGTGTCACTCACACAACCACCAAATACAAAAAGCCACTGAAACTAGAAATCGAAAGTAAAAATGTCTGATTCATCCATGTATTTCGGATATTCAATAAACAAATGGCTTATGAAATATTCACTAAGGATATAATAGGCCATCTCTTCATTCATGGAGCAGTGTTGTCATCCAAACACTCACTTTGATGGCAAGTCTATTCATTCCGTTTACTATTCTTCCGCATATTTGCTCCTCCCATCTAACCGCAGTGACGGTTATTACAATCATCCCATCTAATGTTTTTCCACAGCTCTGCCTCCCAAACCCAATTCATCGTTATCCAATGGCATTCCCATAAGACTTCAAACAGTTCATTAGTTACACTATCAGTTTGTGCATCGACATATGAGGCTCTCATAAGCTAATTCGCAGATGTCATTCAGATTCCTGATCATTCTTTTCTCGTACCTTTGTTTCCATTTGCTCCAGTTTTTCCTTCAACATTTTCTCTACAGTAAAAGACGAACCTATGATTTTCATCATCTCCCAGGTCTTCAGGTCGTTGTTCGCAATGAGTGGTTGAATTTTCGTGAAAGTGTGTTTTCCTAAATTGACTAAAATTTCGTTTGATATTTTGATTGACCAGTTGTTTGTTAATTGCATGCTGGCTACTTTAGTTGTTTGTATTAGTGAATGTGAAGAAATAAGCTGTACAGTTTCCAAAATTTGTAGATAATGATTGCACAAGTTTAACTAAGAGAAGAACTGCGACTCATCGTACTGAATCGTATCAGTCTGTAACGACTTTAACACCTTCAGTGATGTTGTACCGAAATGTAGGAAGCATTTAAACAATTTCTTTACTTCCATCGTTCATATACAATAATGCGACGAAATTGGAATATTAATGAAACATTTGGTAACTTATTTTTTAATTTTCGGTTGTGTATTGGTCTAGAAATTAGTTGTAAATTTTTATTAAATAGTAAATGACTGTACACTTGATGAATCTGTAGATAACATAGAATATAATATCTTTGATGGCCTTGATAGCACCCTAAAGAAATGCATGTTCACTTGTTTTCGGTTCTAACTGTTTGGATTACAATAACAGAATGTAAATTTTAAAATGTAGTAAATGGCTATCTTCGATTTTTACTCCCAAAGATCAACGGTGATTACTGAAAGGTGATTGTCAAAAATAGATGATTTCAGTATTTGTTGTTATGATCGCCACTTTCCGAAATGATTTTCAGTATCAGTGATTGTTTTACAGTACTTTTTGTTCATAACATTTTTAACGTGGAACCTTTCTGTTTGTGTTGCTATCATTTTTCGCTCTACAAGCTCTGTAAATTCGCCTCACTTTCCTGGCTCGATTTCGGTATTCCTTCGATACCACGAAATCGCCAGTAAATATATTCTTTACCATGGATTTAATTATCTTCTCAGTGACTAGTTCGCAATAGCTGTAGTGGTGATCATAGTCGATCTCGACTAGGCGTCACTCAAACGATAAAATATTGAAATGATCAGACCATTTCTATTCCATTCAAAAAAATTTCTGTTTTGTATCATTTGTGTTAATTAGACTAAGTTTAACTAGTTATTTACTTATATTTTCCTGAGAAATCGCATGAAACTTATGAAACAGTGATGTTTATATAAAACACTGATCCCTTAGAAGATTATTATCATTGTGTGCCTGATTTGATCTCAAAATTTAATTCGTCCATTTGTGCCTACCGAGTTTTTACGAAATGATTCCTGTTACATACGTGACTACTAGAATGCAAGTTTGACATTTCCGGGTTCTACTAGTAAGTGTACAGGGCACGGTTACGACTGATTATCACAAATCGTCAGAAATTTTATTTTCTACTGATTGGGAATATAGAAATATTTTATTTGTATTAACAAATCAGAAACTATTACTCTTTAGTTGTAATGATAATGGTAATAATGGCATTAATAAGAATATCATGCGTAATATAAAATATAAATCTATGCAACAGG